ACATCTTAACATACATTACCCAAAGTCCAACGTCAAATACGATATCCGTAGATATCGACACAGGCAAAACCAATTGTCCAAAACTCTTGCTCTCCCAAAAACCGCCGTTTATAGGAAAATCTCTTCCTTTTTAATAGAAACACAAAAATCCTCGTAACAGTACATAACGATAACGATGTATCACACATTCCAAATATTTAGGTTCTACAAGTTTGTACACATGAAAGTAAACTCACTTTTTTGTTTGTTTACATACAACTCTATAAGTGGCAGTTTGTATGAAGGTGAACTTATTAACTATACCACGACTGTATATTTTTTGTGGTCTCACAAGAATGATGTACGTAAAGAAAATACATCGTAATTTTTCGTTAAAAATGACAGTCTAATTTAAAATATCGTATACATGCACCATTTTTAGATTTCAAAGAACAGTAACGGCAAACGTCCTTCCGGAAGAATCAAAGAATTTCAAGACCATAGTGATAATATTTTAAAACAAGATGAAAAGAATGATAATTAAGGTAAAATTCTAAAGAGATTGATATCAATTATGCGATGAAATATCGTCATTCTTTTGTCGTGTCGGTATTTTTTTCCCTATCGACATTAAGTACATGTATTTCTAAATGTATCAATTGTGCCATAATTCATAATCAATTACGTGTAATAAACCTCTGAAATGGCATTTTGAAAATACGACTACGTACTGTACTTGAATCTTAACGACGAGGATTGGTAAAATATTTACAATGGTTGCCGCCGCGTAGTACTGACTTAGTTGCGAATTTATTGAAAGCTTATTTAGTACCCTTTTGGTGTTATTAAATTTAGTTGAGAAGAGTGATGATGTGAATACAAAACTGCACCTAACGTTTCAGCACATATTTAAGCTCATTCGATTATTACGTATTTTATCACCACCATTGCTAAAATATTTCTTCCATTAGAACGTTATACGTAAATTGATACATGTATTACGTACGTACATTACATGATAGACAGAAAATAAAATTATCGAATTACAAATATTTGCTCATTCGTTTGTCTTCGGATAAAGTTTTAGTAAAATAGGCAATGACAAAAGATTAATACGTAGTTGTACAAATTTGAGTACAATATTGGTGGATTCAAATTCTCCATTTCACAGCTACCAGATAAATAACTAAACGATAAAGCCTCAATTTCTGTTTAAACTACATGCGGTATTATGGGTCTACTTCGACAGCAATTAAAGTAAAAATGGTATAATTGATTTTCGGTCTTTTGGATATTTATCTTTAAAATGCGCTTTATACCAACTATGTGTAGCTATCGCTCTTGGGAACAAATTAGCGGGTGCAGCTAAGGCAAATATAGTAGCTGGTGGACTGTACCAGGTTGCAATGGCAAATCCAAACCATTGAATTGTCTCCCCAAAATAACTAGGAGAACTTATGAGTCGAAACAAGCCTCCGTATGGAATCGAGTATCTTTTTGCCGCATCTTTAGATTTTGCTCGTAATGAAAATAACAAATTGTCATGATATACGTGAATGAAAAATCCGACAAAGAAAATCAAAATGCCAATTAATAATCTCAAAACTCCTTTTTCTCCCAAATTTGGATATTCGCTGAAAAGTGAAATCCATTGTGCGTTTGTGTATGCGTTGAATAGATTGAATAGAATTCCGCAGAGTATAGTAAGAATATGCATTGGGGAAATATTTGGTGCCAGATATGTGTATATTGTGGCACGATAAAAATAGTGAACGATCCAAAGAGACGAAAATAGGATTTGAGTGGTCGAAAGTGTTGATGGATGTGCGAAAGGTGAAAGAAAAACAACGTAAAGGAATGTGAGAGGGGATATGATTTCCATTATTAACCACGATGATTTTCCTGGAAATCTCAATGTTTTCGAATTTTCCCATTGAAATTTTCCTAAATTTTTATAACTTAGTTTTAGAGTTTATAACGATCCCCCATCATTATACGTATCAAGTAGTAAGCTTAAAAAATAAAATATGCATACCATATGGCGCAGCTACTATACTCACACAGGTAATCATGAGTAATGGAAAAAAAGAATAAAGAAAAAGTATTTTATCATAAAATTGCTTTTCATCTTCAATTGAATAAATCATCTTTCGTTCGAGAATAGCATATCACGATTCTTGCTATATCGAGATTTACGATTCAATTTACGTATTGGTATCACGCTTATTGATGCTGCCAAGGTTTTTGTATGTACGTATCTAATACATATGCATGCATGTACGTATGTGTAACCAACCTCCATTTCAACAAATTCAAATTTTAAATGAGAATGAATATTTAACGTTAGAACAAATCCAGCAATTGACTTACAAAACGTGGGTCGTAAATATTTACATCCCCAAAGAAACGTGGCTGAATTTTATTTTTTCCCTGAATTTTAAATAGGTCGGAATCTTCCCCACCCTTCATCACCACATCACCATTACTTTTACATTCTTACTGGATGTATTTTTGACTTGCACTACCACCATCATGAATGTACAACAACTCCATTCACAATTGATAAATAGAGGAAGTAATAAATTCCTGTCTTCATCTTTTCGCTTGAATCTACTCGAGAGCAAAAAAAGCATTCGGTAATCATGGTTCAAGGAAAAGTTTTCTCTCTTAGTGTGCTCGTATCTTTTGTTCTTCTCAATGGCGGGATACTTAATAAGAGTTTTGCCGCTGATCCCACGTATGATCCCATTCCTATTCTCAATCCTACATCTCAATTTTTTGTGGAAACCTATCCTGATGAAACTTTAGAGTTCTCTGTACTTGGAGATTGGGGATTCCCCGGTAACAATCAAACCAAAGTTGCTAATGCTTTGCGTGTAACCGCGGAAAGGCTCAAAACCAAATTTATTGTAAATGTTGGTGGTAAGTAAACTGAACTGAAAGGATTGATTTATTTGTTTGTCAAATTCGACATTTTACTAAATTCGATTGATTTTTTACTTTATCCAGATAGTTTCTACACTGGTGGGATATATACTTATGATGGAGTGAGCAATGCATCTGATCCAAAATTTGATACCATTTGGAAAGCTACTTATACCGGAATATTGGGAAAAATTCCATGGTACAGTGTGGTTGGAAATCACGAATGGCAAGTTATTATATTATTTATTATATTCATAATATTTCTATGGCTAAATTATTAAAACTTTAAATTGTTACCTATAAATTAGGTATAATAATGTAACCGCAGAAGTTGTTTACAGTCATACCAAAGATCCACGATTCTTCCTGCCTGCATTATATTATACACGTATAGCGTTTGTAGGCCCTAAAAGAGTGAAGGCAGCCTGGATCCATATTGACACTGACCCATTTTTCTATACCGATCTCGTTGCATTGAAGAAGAAACAACCATTAATGTATAACTCTCTTGTTCAACAAGGATGGGATAAGAGTGAAAACGTCGATAGGTTATTCGATTGGATCGAAGCTCAACTTTTTGTGCATCAAGACGCAAAATGGATTTTCGTTGTTGGTCACCATCCTTTAGTAGGAGACTGCAAGCAAACCGGAAATATGTCACGTCTTTCGAGTCTTTTTGAAAAATATGGCGTGACAGCTTATTTCTGTGGTCATGCTCATGCATTAGCATATCAACAACCTTCTGGTTCTGAGAAAGTTTCGTATTTCATGTCAGCGACTGGAAGTAAAGTAGAAGATACATGTGAAGGCCGCACTTGGGGAGAGCTTACACCAGGTTTCTTGCATCTTTCTTTATCAACAAAAGACGATAAAGCAGTTTTTCAATTTGTCGACGCGGTTGATCCAAATAAAGTTGGTGGCGCTGTTATTTATTCGGGAGTTGTTAAACCATATAAGCCAGAAAAACCTCCTAAACCAGAAAAACCCCCTAAATTTTAATTACGTATTTAATCAATTAATCACAATTAATTACATTTAATTACATTTAATTGCATTTAATTATAGAAGTGTTCGATTTAATCATCAGTATAGTGAACAATTTAAAGTGAATCTTTAATAAAATATTACGTACTTGGCGCCATATTTTTCCTTCTATTCATATAACACACTATCGTTATTATTTTCTTGGCGTAACATAAATAAACTTTCTTTTATCCGTTAGAAACGCATATATACAACTTCCAATTTCAGATTCTTTTGCTGTTTGCACAACATAACATAACTTAAATTTAATGGTCAGATTCGCATGTGTGTGATAAATAGATTTGCATACTTAATGAACCACAAAGTTCATTGATGCACAAGAATAAACAGAAACAACTTGACTCGACAAACAAAAATTTACTCATTCGCTCACTCATACATTCATTTTATCGTCATCTTCTCTTTGTTGCTACTGCTTCTTCTACTAAACAAGAAAAGAGCATACATCCATTTCCATCTAATCACACCTACCATTAATCAACCAATCACTGAAATGCATCGACTTCGACGAAGCAGATTTTCAAATATATTTCTTCAAACTAAAAAACCTTCTTCACTCGATCAAATGCTCTCAATTTGGACAAAAGGCAATGAGCGTTTCGAGGACGACCAACGAATTGTAGAACGTATTCAACATTGGTTGGAAATAAATGCTCAATCTGCCACGACACTCTTTGAAAATATTTATATGGAATCATTACGAGATATAACGTACACCCCATTACTCGCATTTTTTTATCACTGGGGTATCGGAACCAAAGTGAATCCGGACGAAACTTTTCATTGGTATGAAATTGCTGCGGAACGAAATAACAATATGATTGCACAAAATCAAATTGGCGGATGTTTTAACGTTGGCTTTGGAACTGAAAAGAATCCGGATTTAGAATTTTATTGGTATAAAAAATCAGCCGAGAATGGATATTCTGTAGCGCAATGTAATCTAGGAACCTGTTATTATAATGGAATTGGAACTGAACGAGATTGGAAAAAAGCTTTTTACTGGTTCCAAAAATCGGCGAGAAAAAGATATCCGAATGGACAATGGCACTTGGCACTTTGTTATCGACATGCTATCGGTACACCAAAAAATGAAGAGAAAGCATTTCGATGGTATCGTGTGGCCGCATTAACTGGTAATTCCAATGCTCAAATTGAAACTGGACAATGTTATACATTTGGAATCGGTACCAGGAAAAACTCGAAAAAAGCTTTTGATTGGTTCAAAAAATCGGCGGAAGCTGGTAATGCTCGCGGACAATATTTACTAGGGGAATGCTTTCAAGAAGGTAAAGGGACGAAGAAAAACGGAACCGAGGCATTCAAATGGTTTACGAAATCGGCGAATGGTGGTTCTATAATGGGAAGAAATAGTCTTGGATATTGCTATTTAGTTGGTATTGGAACGAAAAAGAATTGGATGAAAGCATTGTATTGGTGCAGTCATGGAGTTGGTATCGATTCTTTGTATATGCATTCGCAAGAGAGTCTTGGAATAATTTATCATGTCGGAATAGGAACACACAGAGATTTACATACAGCCATAAAATGGTATCGACATGCTATCGAAAATGGGAGTCCAGATGCGCCGGAAATGCTTAGAGACGTTTTTCTAAATAGATGACTTGATTTATATTTTATTAGGATTATTCCTTTTCTAATATGTCAGTATCGGTACGGTATATATAGCGATAGGTGAAACCTCATCGATATGACGGATTTCACCACCATTTAATTTAGAATTTTTTAAATAATCTCAATACGTAACTGCATTTATCGTTATCGTCTGTATGTTAGGTATGGAAAATTTTAACGTCAATCATGTGAATGTAACATATTGTGAAACATTCATATGGTACGATCTTTTCCCACAGAGATTCATATTCTTTTTGTACATGTATTTACATGCTGCCCTGACGCTAATAGAAAGTTATTATTTTTGTTCTCGTTAGAATAACGATAACAATAACGATAATAATAATAATTGATTTTTCGTGCAATGAATTTTCCAGAAAAGTCCAATTTTACTTCTTTTCCAAGTGAAATATTATCAGATATCTTGGAGAGTTTGCTCACTTTCGATGAGATTATTTCGACGAGAGATTTATATTCATGCATTCTCGTGAATCGTCAATGGTGTAAAGTAGCGATGCCTGTTTTATGGAGTAATCCATTCTACGACAATTGTTCAAGCGTCAAAAAGCAATGTGATCTCGTTGATACTTTCTTGAATTTATTATCCACAAATCAACTTGTACAATTAAAAGCGAAAAATTATCAACAAAATCAACAACAATATACGACCTCAGTAATAGAAGAAGTGGCTTTATTGACACTTGATCTTCTTCTACCAAGGAAAAAGCCATTATTCGCGTATGCACATTTCGTTAGACATTTAAATTTTCGTGCGATGATAGAATCTGTGAATTTATGGTGTATTAGGAATGGAAAAAGAGATTCATTTTGGAGAGTGATAAATGTCTTATTGCGGTTGATGAAAAACAATGGGGCGAGGCTCCAATCAATTTACGGAATACCAGAAACGGATTTTTCTAACGGAATTATCGGATTTTTTGAGAAAAGACCGGAACTTGCTTCTTGGATTTCGAAGGTAAAATCATATCGATTTATCTGTGGCTCATATGATTATCCTCGACGTTCAATTACCATACTTTCAAGTAATTTGGTAAGCATTAAATATTTTTCTTTATTATACTACTAACTACGTATAACGATAAATATCACTCATAAATTTATTAAATTTATTACCAATTATTAGAATACCTTGGAATTGTGCTTCGGTCGACGACGAGCTGAAACCGAACGTGATCATTGCATGCAATTTTTAGAGAGCATGTCATTAGTCCCAAATCTAAAGAGATTTGTCATCAAAAAATTCAGGGAATTCGACATGATCGATACTTTACTCTTTTCATTAACGTCGGTAGCTCCAAACCTCACGGAAATCGAATTTATCGAGACAAGTTTTCGATGTGGACGAAATTTTGATTATACAGAAGCGATTCAATCACTCAAAATTCTCTCTTTTATAAAGTGTAATGCATTAACAAAGGAGATTTTTGAGTCTTTTTTTAAAATTCAAAAGAAATATTTGTCCCAAGTTTACATGATCAAGTGTAGGTCAGTGAGCCAGGATTTTGCTGATCTAGTTGATAACATTAATCGAGAAAACAATCACGTTGTGATGGTAAAAAAAAGTCGGAGTTAGATATTATCGTTATGGAATCAGAAGATTTATCGTTGATCTAAATTTGTATTCATATCGTTATCGTTATCGATATGATTACTTGATGACTTGATGAATACAGAAAACAATGTGTATTATTACGTCGTCTTTATCATATCGATATCATTATTAAAATAAAAAAAAACCCCATTATATCATGAAACAGAAAATATATCATCGGAATAGAAAAAAATTACATCATCGAAATACATGTAAAGAGAAAAAACGAATAAAAAAAATTATATCATCGAACAAAATTATAAATAGGGTTTACGATTTAGTTATTCTCTCCTATGGCCTCTAATAATCAAATCTGTACTCGCCCGGGTTGCGGAAAACCATGTTACATTGCACCAAACAATTATATTCATCCTTTCTGCGGCCGCACATGCGCCATTGTTGATTCCATTTTCAAAACACAAGCGAAAACTTGTGTTAATCCAGGCTGCTCCAGACCTTGTTACGTCGATTTGGACGGCACTCAACATTCCTACTGTGGAAGAACGTGTGCGCGTACCGCTGCGAGTACCGCACCATCCCCATCTCTACCGAAGTGTGCTAATACGAATTGCAATAGAACAGTTTATATCGATCCTCGAGGTCAAAGATTTCCTTTTTGTGGGGTAACCTGTTCACGCGTTCACGCCAATTTGGGTCCCAATTGTATTCGAGTTGGATGCAATCGAAGAGCATACATCGATCCGACGGATCGAACAAAAGCTCATTCTTTTTGTTCAACCGAATGTTTCTGGATGGACGGCACAGCAATCACCACTACGAAATTAACCATTATCTATCCGAATCAAATCGATTATGATAATGCACATAAACGATTTAGCAAAAATATGCCAAACTCGACAATTAAAGCAATATTCAGATTGCAAATGCCAAGGGGCATTGTGGAAAAACATCTTGCGTTGAGAAAAGAAATGGCAGGCACTACTAATTCAAATAGAATCACTCATAGAATGTTTCATGGGACGAAAACAGCATGCGACCCTATGAAACTAATTACATCATCGGCACCATCTTGCAATAGTAATTGTGGAGTGTGTGGCATTGTACGCGAAGGAAATAAGGGTGCCTACTCCAATCACGGAGGAAGTATGTACATATATTGATTGATTTCCAGTTGTTTCAAATTGATCTAAATCAATATTGAATTCTTAGGAATGTGGTTCGCGAAAAATTCAGCGGTATCCTTGGGATATTGTGATGGTAAAGAGGTGAAAACCATGTTTATGGTAGATGTGCTTGCACAACAGCCAAACGATATTTTGATTGTTGATAAAGATGAGGTAATTGATCGTCGTCTTCAATTTCTAGCGCTAGTCATTATCGTTATTACTAATCTCGATTTTTATCGTTATGGAATTTGAATTTTAAATTTTAGGCAACTTTACCGAGATTTCTTATACTTTTTAAGTAATTTTAACATGGGTGCTAGATATTTTTCCTAAATGCATATTAAATATAAAAACTAAATAATGCCATTTTTTAGAAATAATTAATTTGAATAATTAAAAGTTTATATCTTCATGATTTCATCTCAAAAGTTGATGCAAATTCTAATGCTTAAACTACAGGATTAATCAAGGTTGTCTCCAGGCAAAATTGTAAAAGATCCAGATATAACCAAGGAAACTACTATCGCCATACCTTTTTGTTCATTGTACTGGATTGTATTGAAAAGAATTAGGATATGTAGATTATCTTAGTATAGACAGTACAATTTATGCTATAACCCTGTGTAATATATTTATTGCTGTGTTGGCCAATTTCATGGTCATAAGTCATACAGAATTTATAATAAAATTGAGGTCATATACAGTGACTCACACAAGAAATGGAACACGCGATCAAAATTTTTATCTTCGTCAATATCATTCGAAACAAAATAAAAAAAGTACTCATTTTGAATTACACGAACTCTAGTATTTTTTAAAAATATTTTGACAACAGATTATTGTAGTCAGTTTTTGTAAAACTGGTAATTTAAATTAAAATTTTCAATTAGTAAATTTCTCACATTGAAGAACTTTTTTTCTATTTTCACAAATTTGGATCAAAATTTATCGAGATTTAAAATCCTGAAGGTTCAAATCTCTGTTAGTAAATAAGCACGTAGTCGAGTTAATGCTCCTAGCAGTGATTCGAACCTTCGGGATCTTAAATATCGATAAATTTTGAGCTAGTTTTGTGAAAATTGGTACATAGGCGGATTTTGTAGAGTATATATAACATTTTTAATTAGTGGTCCAAATTTGAATCCGTCATAGAAAAAAAGTTCTTCAATGTGAGAAATTTACTAATTGAAAATTT